CTTAGGAGCCTAATGAGCGCCAATTCCTGAGTCTTCTCTTCTTCCACCCCTCCTTGAGTGCAAAAGTCTGACAAATATGTTCCTGTCGTCAAACCTATGCTTGCATGTCACCTCAAAGGGGAGTTCGCCTACCCTCTTTTGCAGCTCACCAACTGCGTGGACACCTACCGGGACAGGATTGACCTCTCCCTACTCAGCCAACTGCTTCAGGAACACACAGACCGGTACTTACCCAGTCCTGCCTCGGATCTCGACCCCCTCAACCAACCTTCCCTACCACTACATCCAGGAGACCAAGTCCTGCTCAAATCGCTTCAGCCAAAGCCACTGCAGCCTCGGTGGACCGGCCCACGCACGGTTATTCTCACCATGCCTACAGCGGTAACACTTCTGGGACACCCCTCCTGGCACCATCTATCACGGGTCAAACGTGCCCCTGAAGACAAACAGTATGTATGTTATAACCTGGGTCCTACTAGGATGTGCATTTCTTGTCAAAATCTCCCCTAGCTCAGTGTCCTGGGTATGGAAATTCAAAGTTAGGGAGACCTTTGTCTCAGGATCCACTGAGACCACCCACTAGGTGGGTACTGCGGAGTGCCCACAGGCCAGATGCACAGCACCCATCACTCTCACCCTCTCTTTCATCGATTACTAACCCTATAAACACCTTGTTTTGTTTCTTTACCATCAAACCTTAGATCACTACAAAAATACCTATAGAGAATATGGGGGGTGCCCTTACCAGTCATGCACAGTGCACCTTCCAGACAAAGGCCAAATGTTCTCTCTGGTCCGTCATAATACGGGCTTCAATATGAATCAAGTTAGCTATGCTATTTCAGATCCTTGGGACCAACATTGGGTACAAGGAGTCCAAGCCGCAGGGTACACTGGCTGGCATTCCTATCCAGTGGCAACACTGACTCCAATCACAGCTACCCCTGCTATCAAACTGATGCCCTTGTCAGCTTTCATTCCTGTACTTCTAACCTTTCGGTTACTTCTGTACTCCGAACAACAGCAAAGGGAACCTTTTTCTGGTGCAATGGCTCTCTCTCTCAGTGTATTAATTCTGCTACTCCAGGCCCACGTACTCTCTCGTGGTCCCACAGTTAACTCTGTACAGACGGTCTGAGTTAGGTTAGTTATTCTCACCACATCGGACTATGCGGGCAGCCTTTCTTCCAATCATGGTTGTAATCAGCCTGGCATCATCGATAGCAGCTGCAAGTATGGCAGGTGGGGCCCTGGAACACAGCCTGATTTCTGCCCAGAAATTTTATAAAAAGATACCTCCTTACAAAAAACCTGTGTGTCTTTAGCATCATTACACAGACAGCTCACCTCCCTGGCACAGGTCACTCTCCAAAACCGGCGGGCTCTGGACTTGTTAACAGCTAATAAAGGGGGTACCTGCCTGTTCCTCAGGGGAGAATGTTATTACTAGTAAAACCGGGGACTCCAACTCTCCGCTGACATGGTTTCAAAATCCTATAGTGTCATGGCTCCTCCCACTCTTGGGGCCAATACTAATGATAACCTTATTTTTTTCTTTTCTTCGCTGCTTGTCTCCTAAAATTCATACAGGCTCGCATTCGGGAAATGTCTCCTACCACCTTTAACCAACTCCTTCTCCACCCATATTCTCGCATCCCTGCAGAAGACCCTCACAACCAGGCCTGAGCCACCCCCTTGGTCTTCGCCCCTTTTCAGCAGGAAGTAGCCAAAGAAAGAACCGTCGCCCCTTTTCCTATCAACAAAAGGCTGGTATGAAAGGTCCATGCAGGAGGCCTGAATGCAGGAGCCAACCAGGAAGCCCACCTGGGGGGCAGGAATGCGGATACCTGCCTGAGGACTCAGACAATGAGCCTCCCCCCTCCCCCTAGGAGTCTCATCTCAGACAAAGAACCTCTACCTGCCCTACAAACTTTTCCCGCCCTTCGAGCCCAACTACCCACCTGACCTCTCCTCGCCCTATAAAACCCTGCTTCCCCCTAACAACGTGCGCGGCTTCACTGACCCCCGCCTTGGGTGCGTGAGGTCCGCCCGGGGCGCAATAAACTTTCCCTCCCTTTGAGAACTGTAGCCTGGCTCTCCTTGTCTTTACCGCGCCGAACCTTTCACTCAGGGGTGTGAGGTGATATTTCTTCGCAGTTTTAAGCTGCCCCTCTCTTATTAGGAGTGACCATGAACATTTTTTCAAATATCTTTTGGCCTCCTGGATATCCTCTTTGGTGGACTGTCCTATTTAGTGCCCATTTACTAATTAGCTTTTTTAAAATTGTTGGATTGTGTGAGTTTTTATATACATCTTGGATATTCATCCCATAGAAGATTTTTTTTTTTAACTTGAGGGACTCCCAATTGTTTGTTTTTGTTTTTAATTCCTTTTCCATAGGGGTTGAGTCCCTCATAGGGGTTGAGTCCCTCACAATATCTTTATTGTTGATAGCATAGAATATGTCACCAATTTTTTTCCCTATGTATTTTATTGTTGCAGTTCTGATGTCTCTCTCTTTAATCCCCTTGAGTTTATTTTGGTGTATGGTGTTAGCAAGTAATCTACCTCTTTCTCTCCAGTCTCCCCAGCACCATTTATTAAAGAGACTGTCTTCCCCGCGTTTTATGGTCATAGCTGTTTTATCATAGATTAGCTGCTGTATGTATGTGGATTTATTTCTGGGCTTTCGATTCTGTTCCATTGATCCGTGTATCTGTTTTTGTGCCAACACCATGCTGCTTTTATACTGTTGGAGATGGGTTTCCTTGTCACCAGTGCTGGGAATGAAAAAGCTGGCAATGGTTGGGCAGCACTGTGACTACTAAATATCACTGAATTGTACATTTTAATATGGTTGAAACGATGCATTTTACGTTATGTGTATTTTGCTACAATTAAAAAAAAACTTTCAAAAGATGGTTAAGTCAAATGTGTGGTGTGTCAGAGGCAGCAAGGCAGGTGGGGTGGCGGGGAGCAGTTTTACACAAAGGGCTGAAAGTGACGATTTGCCAAGTCCTCAGGGTAGGGATGGGTGAGTAGAACACATGCCTCAGAATCGGGGAAGTGCCAAGAGCAGCCCCTGGCACAGGGTAACTGACCTGTGAACGTTGGCTACTCTGACTAGGAGGTTCTTAAACATGTTGCTTTGCGACTTCCCTGAGGGCCACAGTGTTCCTGGCAGCAGGAACTGTCTCTTTATAAAGGCCCAGAGGCTTGGCAAGGTGGAGACTACCAAGGCAGGAACAGAAGGAGCCAGGGAGGTGGTCAGAGTGGTGGCGGGTCCAGCAGGTGGGGGGGGGGGCGCTCTGCGCTTTGGGGGGTGGTGGTGGTGGTGGTGGTGATGGGAACAGTTTTTCTCCAGGCCCCCAGGGGGCAGCATGAGCCACAGGGAGCTCACAGTGGTGCCCAGTTCCACGGCTGCCCAAGATTCAGGCCCTGGCCGGTTCAGGGCCCTGAGCCTCTTGTGGTATAGGGTCTGTACATACCATTCTTGGTGTGATTACTGTCTGCCCAGGCCCATGCTGGGAGACTCAGGCCGTATCATCCCAGGGAGGAGAGGACGCCCTCCCTCCCCACCCCCCCCATGTCCAGGGGAAGTGGCTGTCACTGTTTCCTGCCGACCCAGCTGGACCCATGCCCCTCTGCCCTCCCCCACTGGGGTTTCCTGTTTGTGCAGCACTAACCCAGCTCCATCTCCAGGGGACTCCCTAGCAGGCGGGGAGGAAGTGATTTCCTCCGCCAGACTCAAACTCCCCAAGGGATCAGGCAAGGGCCGCTGCTGCCGCTGCCCCCGCCTGCCTTGAACATCTGGTTTGGAGGGAGGTGCCTGGGGATCATAGCAGGCCAAGGAGGACTCAGGGTCACAGACGGCCAGGGCCACTGCGGAGTGGCGGGGGAGGGTATGTGTGTGTGGGCGGGGCCGTGAGCCTTCTGGAACGGTTCAGTCTCCCTGTGCGTGCCTGTGCCAGTCCTTCCAAGCCGATGCCCTCACCCACTGGCTTTTCTTCTTCCCTCCTTTCTTCCTCTTTTTCGCTCCTCCTTCCTCCTGATGTACCACCCCTTTTAGTTTCTGTTTTTCTCTGCTTCTTCCCGCCCTCTCTCCTTTTTTCTCTCTACAAACACTGGGCACCCACTATGTACAGGTCCTCTTCTAAGCACTGAGGACACAACAGTGATCAAAACGGATGAAAGCCCCTGTCCTTGAGGAAGTGATGTGCCAGCAGGAGAGAGAAGCATGCACAGGCTGTCGCTGAGCCACTAAACAAGTACATATGTAATTACTAACTTTTTCCGAAGGAAATAAAACAGAGCGCAGAGATTGAGAATGGCTGAAGCTGCTTGAACTGGGGGGCTCATGGGCTTTTGAGCCGAAAGAGCTGGAGAAAGAGAGAGCAACTAGCTGTCCAGGTGGAGGGCACAGCCTGGGAAAGGCCCTGGGGCAGGACCAGGACTGGCATGTTGGAGAAACAGTGAGAAGGTCCTTCTAGCTAGAGCAACGTGAGTGAAGAAGACAGTGAGGCAGAGAAGGCCAGAAGGGGATGGGACAGGTGATCTGGCGGGGGACTTCAGCTTTGACCCTGAGGGAGGTGGGAACCCTGGAGGGCTGCAGGCAGAGGAGGGTGAGACCTGACTCATGGTGCTCAGATGTGTGAGCTGTGGGGGAGGACAGACCATGCAGGGTGGGAGCCTGGACCACCCAGGAGCCTTCGCTGGTCCAGGTGGGCGAGAGGACCGGACCAGGGCAGGAGCAGGGACTTTGCAGCGTCCAAATCCTTCCACGGGGCTGCAGGACCCTCGGGAGCCCTCCTGTGGGGGGAGTACCATGGAGCCCAGAACCTGGGAGTTCAGTCATGGGCTCCCATGCCAGCGGCTCTCCAAGCCGCAGTTTCCTCAGCTGCAAAAGGGGAGAGCAGCAACTCTCGCCCACAGCCAGGCTATGAGGAATGGATCCGTTAACATGTGTGATCCTAAATAGGACTGCCAGCCCCAGACTTACCCAGTGTGATGGGCTTGCTGTCCTCCTGGTCAGAGCCCATCCCTGCCCGGGGACTGCCACTCTGCTCCGCATCTGCAAGAGAGGGAGAAGGATGGGTTGACACTGCAGGGACTCCCCCAACCAGGTGGCGATGAGGCATCGGTGCTGGTGAGGCTGGGCCACTGCCATGGAGATGGTGCTCCCCAAACATGCCTAGTGCCTGCCTGGCCTCTCTCTTGGCTGCTGCCCCCAAGAGTTGTGGATTTCTGGCCAGGCACCTGCAGATGCCAACACAGGTGCCTGGACTGCCCCCGTATCTCTGTGCCTCACTCACGGGGCTGACTCAGGGAGGGGTTAGAGTCTTTTGCTTTTGACCCTCAATTTTCTCATCTGTGAAATCAGGATCATTCATTTCATTCTGCCTCAACCTAATGAGGGAGGTGTCATCATGCCCATTTTATAGATGAGGAAACTGAGGATCAGAGAGATGTATCCTTGAAGCCTCAGACCTCTGCCCCTTAGCCTTTGCCTTTGAAGTCCTGAGGCTCAGCTCTTGGTCTTGGGTGGCCACTCAGAGCCCCCAGAGAGGGGGCCAAAGGGTGTCCATCTGCAGCTGCAACGTCCTTACCAGCTGGCCTAGCTTGGGGCTCCCTCCCACTCAGGCGCCCGCCCCGCCATCTTATCTAAAAATAATCACACTCCTTGGCAGACAGGCGAAGCAGACAGACGCTGAGCTCAGCATTATCGGCTCTGGTGGCCTGAGTGGAGGGTGAGTCGCGCCAGCCCCTCTGCTGCCCCCACATCCTCCACCCTGGACTGAGGGCCAGGGAGTATGGCCAGGCCCTTCCAGACAGGACCCCCAGCCCTGTCCAGTGGCCTCTCAGGTCAACGACAAGTGGCAGGAATCCCCGTCAAATGACAAAGAAAGAAAATCAAGGCCATCCCATGTCCCACACCCCAAAGCTGGCAGGTAACTGCTGTGTGACCTCAGCAAGTAGCTCAACTGTTCTGAGCCTTCCTTTTCTCCTCTTTCAAATGGGCATGAATATCTGGGCCTGGACTGGATCGCCAGCCATTGCAAGGAGAGGATACACATGAGGCGCTCAGGGTACCTCGAGATCTCCACCCATGGCCATGTCCATCATGTTATCACTCCTGTTGCGTTTAAACCCCTAGGTAACTGCAAATGGGGTGATTTTTCTCATTTAAGTGTTCCCTTAGATTCTTATGATAGCCACGAATCGGGCATTGCCAGTGCACCCATTTTATAGACCAGGAAAACAGCGGGTTGGAGCTAGGAACAAGTTCCCACCCCTCCCCACTTGGGGGCTGTTCTATTCTTGGCGTGCGCGACAGGGCCGAGAGTGTCCGTGAGCCACGTGGCCTCTGGGGTCAGATTCCTGAGTTTGGATCCCAGCTCTGTGGGCCTCTGAAGCAGCGTGGTCCTGGGGAGGTCACTTCCTTCCTTTCAGCACCTGCTTTCCCCTCAGGGCTGCCGAGGGGGTGACAATGATGCTTCCTAAACAGCTCCTGAGCTTGGCACCGTGCTGGTGGCTGTGCATACATGGAAGGTTCAGCACTCATTGTCCCCCACAACAGGGATGCCCTCCACAGCCATGCCGTGCCTCAATTTCCCAATCCATGACAGGAATGGGAGGGTGTGGCCCCTCCTTGATTCAGCTTTGCAGCCCCAGTCGTGGCTGACTGGGCTGGGCAGGGCTGGGCAGCAGCTGAGGGGAGTGTGCCCGGCTCGGCCCCACGCCCTGTGGCCACTGCTGTGCTGGGCAGTCAGTGGCCCCTCAGAGCCCGCCAGACCCGCTTGGATGGCCATGAAGCTGGGCCTGGGCAGCCACTCTTTTGGGAAGAGCCCAGCCTGGGCAGCCAGCCGCCTGGGCTCCAGGCCTTGGGCTCTTCTGGAATGGGCACCCACACGACTCAGCTGGCTGCAGTGCCTGGTTAGCACTCAGGAAGGGGAGGATGTTTTGAATACCTACTATGTGTTCATGCTTTGGAACCAGGTAGACAGGGCTGGGGGGGGCTCAGACCCATTAACTCATCTCTGTGCACCCTACTGTCCTTATCTGTGAAATGGGCACAGTAATGAATGCAGTGAAGTGCCCCAAACAGCGGTGGGCACACAGTGAGTGCTTTACCAACTGGAGGGTGAGCTTTATTACTATGATTACTTTACGAACATTCCCTTTGTTGTTGCTGCCTTGAGTGCTGATACTTTCTTTTTTTTTTTTATAATTTTTTTTTTTAATAGAGGCATGTTTTTATTTATTTATTTATTTATTTATTTATTTTGTTTGTTTGTTTGTTTATACATGCACTGGGTACAGTCAGAAGCGCGGGAGGGTGAGAAAATTCACCAGAGTCAGAGCGGGGAGCAGAGCAGGCAGAAGGACCGAAGGACACTGCTGAGGGGAGCAGCGGGTGGCAGGAGAGGTCTGCGCGCCATGTGGGACCCTCCTCAGGTGGCCGGGGAGCAGCCGGGGATCGAACCGGCGCTGCAGCTGCGGGCAGCTTCGCAACCCAGCGCTCAACCGCTGCGCCACCTGGGAGGCCCCGAGTGCTGATACTTTCTAGCAAAGCAATGACCCTGATTTCCTGCTGGCTCTACCTTGGCACTCTTACCCTATTGCTCATTCGCCCTGTGACCTCAGGTAACCCACACCACCTCTCTTGAGGCTCAGTTTCCTCCTCTGTAAAATGGTGGAGAAAATACCCATCTCCCAGGGTGTGTTGGATCCACAAGTCAGTTAATATGATGTTTAAGAGCCTTCCTGGTGGCCTAGGGGTTAAGTCTCAGTGCTGTCACCACTATGGCCTGAGTTCGATCCACGGCTGCTGACCCACATGGCGCAGCAGACCTCTCCTGTCTCCCCGCTGCTCCCCTCAGCAGTGTATTTCACTGGCTCCACCTGTTCTGCTCCCAACTCTGTCTCTAATGAAACCTCTCACTCCTGACACCTCTGGCCTACACCCCAGTTCTTCGATGCATAAATAAATAATTTTTAAAAAATATTTATAAAAGGATTGGCACCAAATTGACATCAATACATAATAGGTTTGGGGCATGATTCTAACTGATGTGTTTTTTTTTTTTTTTTTTTAACCTCCTGCCATCAGGATAAATTAACTGATGTGTTTTTAATTTTGGTTTCTAATTGCTCCTCATAGCATTTAGAAATGCGATTTTGCCTGTTAAACTTGTACTCTACAACCTTGCTGAACTTACTTAGTTCTAAGAGATTTTTTTTTTTTTGCATAAATTTCAAGGAATCTATTTTCTGTGCACACCATCATGTCAAATTTTACTTGTTCCTTTCTAATCTGTATGCCTCTGTTTTCCTTTCCTTGTGTTATTGCACTGGCCTGGAGTCTCAGTACAATACTGAACAAAAGTGGTGAAAATGGATACACTTGTCTTGCTGCTCATCTTTGGGGGAGTTTGTTCAGTCCCCCACTAAGTGGGACATTAGCTGTGGGGTTCTGCAGATCTAGTTATGGGGCTGAGAAAGTTATCTGTCCATAGTTCTGTGAGCTTTTAAAATTTAAGTCAGTGTAACTTCTAAGTACTATATACTATCTCCTTAAACTTTTCAAATTTCATTTAAAAATTGTTGTTAAAACACATAACATAGGGCCTCCCCGGTGGCGCAGCGGTTGAGCGCTGGGTTGCAAAGCTGCCTGCAGCCTCTGCAGCGCAGGTTCAATCCCCGGCTGCTCCCCGGCCTCCGGAGGAGGGTCCCGCATGGCGCGCAGACCTCTCCTGCTACCCGCTGCTCCCCTCAGCAGAGTACTTTGGTCCTTCTGCCTGCTCTGCTCCCCGCTCTGGCTCTGGTGAATTCTCTCACCCTCCCGCGCTTCTGACTGTACCCAGTGCTTGTATAAATAAATAAATAAAAATTAAAAAAAAAAAAAAAAAAAAGCCAACCTGAAGGGATAAATGGAGGGACAAGATATAGTATACAGTGACATGGCATAACATTTATTAAGCACCTACTGCATGTCATGCTTAGGACACATTTAAAAAAAAAAAAAAAAAAAAAAAACACATAACATAAAATGTATCATCTTAGCCATTTTTGGGGCCTGGGGAAAACAAACAGCTCAGTGGCATTCAACACATCCACGTTATTGTGCAACCATCTCCCCGCTATCTCCAGAACTTTCTCATCTTTCCAAATTGATGTGGTGTCCCAGTAAAGGTTAACTCCCCTCCCCTCTCCCAATCCCTGGCGCCCACACGGTGCCTGTGACCCCACAGACCTCCTGCGAGGGGATCACATGGGATTTGTGCTGTTGTGTTGGGCTTATTTCACTGAGCTTCATGTTCTCAAATCCATCCATGTTGTAGGTGTGTCAGGATTTCCTTTCTTTTCATTATTGCTATCTCATTTTTAATCATCTCTAAAGCTTGCAACTATTTCACCTCCACCTGCTCACCACTTCCTGTCCTTCGGCTTCTGAAAATGTCTCATCTTCCAGAGCTGTCAGAACAAGAGCCACTAGCACATGTGACTATATTTAAATTAGCTAAATTGAAATTTTTAATTTTTGAATTAAAATTTTAGAACTTTCCATCCCACTGGTCATATTTCAACTACTCAATAGCCACATGCGGCCTACGGCAACCGAACTGGATGGTGCTGGATGGTGCCATTATCAGACGGTTCTGTTGGGCTGAGCTGCTCTGGAAAAATCGAGGGGGTGGGGAGGGCACAGATAGTTCTTCTTCCCATCACTCCTTCGATTTAACAAATGTGCCCAGCGTGGCTAATACCTAAAGAACAGCGAATGCCCAAGGCTTGAGCAGCCCTGGCACCTGGTGGGTGGCTTTCGTTTACCAGTTTCTGACTGTGTTAAGTGCCCCTAGGCACCACGCGATTAAATCTACCCAATGATAAGTTTGATAAACTGAGGTCCAGCTCAGAGAATCTCTTCCCTAAAATTGATGTCAAATTGAAAGATATTGTCGGCCTAGCTCAGAGGTTCTTAACTGCAGTGATTCTGTCCCCCAGGACTGTGTGGGGACATTGGTGGTTGTCACAACTAGGAGTGCTTCTGGCATCAAGTGCACGGTCCAG